ACCTTTTTATTTAAACTGAACTTTTAACAAAACAGAGCATGGCCTGAACTTAGAGCATAACCACGGCTAGTGGCGATGCAAATAAATGCGAACAATCAAATAAATGAAAAAATGTTGATCAGTAGTCTAAGACTACATAGTTAATTATTAAGCTAGCCACTAATTTACTGGCACATCAGATTAAAGTATCGGTGGCATGAGAACACAAAGCTGATACTTTTAATTATACTAGAGCTGGAAGAATCTGACCATCCAACACAGATGCCAGAAACACTCTCTAAAGATCCAAAATCCTCAATTTAAATAATGGAGGTAGAAATAAGAGGAGAGGTCTTAACTGGTTTTCCTCGTGTACTGCCCTGAAGCAGTAGTGCACCTCTCGTGGAAACCAAACTATTCAGTGACTATCCATTAAGATCAATAGGTTTTAACATAATCGGCGGTAAACATTTTGTAATTACATCGTAAATATACATATAAATATATATATATTTTCTTTTTCCGTAATACTTCAAAGTCATAAGTATGTAAAAAGAAAATATTTTAAAACAATGTTTTATTCTGAGCGGAATTAAATGCTATACTTTCCCAGAAAAGTTTAATTTGAATGAAATATTTTCACAAGTTCTTGTTAATTACATTACAAAGAAATTTTAAGTTAATTTGATTTTATTTGGTTAATGATTACAAAAATTAAGATCAAAGTTTATTATAATACTAAAATCAAAATTATGCATTATTTCTTTCCTATTTACAGAGCTTCTTCCTGAAATACCTTCTCAAATGCAGAATGATTTTTTAGCTTCTGAGGCATCCTTTAAAAATCAGAGTTACTTTATAATTAATGCTCAGTTCGGTTAATTTCAAATTAGAGCAGCTGTTATTTCCATAGTAAAATACGTTAAATATTGCTACTGATTTCCATGTACTTAACTTTCTATGAGTATTTTTTTGAAATGGATTAAAAAAGTTTATTTTTAATATTGTTTAAAACTTGTAACTGATTTATTACAAAATGTAAGGAAAGAATTCTTTTGATACTTACAGTCAAAAGTCTTTAATCTGGACGTCCATAATCCGGAATGATCTATAATCCGACCTCAAAGCTACAAACTTTCTGCGCATGCGTCAACACAGAAATTATGGTTTCATATTTTTAATTGTATAATTTCTGCATGCCATCTTACCAGATTTAAATTTATGATCTATAATCTGGAAAAACCCCTAATTTAATCCCGGAATCACTGAAGTTAACAGGAGTTTATGAAAGAATAAATCCTTCATTTCCAAATACATTTATAATAATTTAATAAATATTTATGTATTTTATGCTTTTTACAAGGATAATGTATACTCATATATTTAATATTTTTCGAAATGTGCAAATCTTAAATTTCTGTGTATTTACTATATTTTTCAAGTAAAGTAATTAACAGTAATGTAGCATATATCAGAATTTTTTACATATGAAATATGTATAAATTGAATGAAAATTAGATGTATTATTTTTTAATATGCACTCAAACTTCAGTTTTGCCTTGAAATTCCTCCATGAAGGCATATTTTCCTTTAGGCATATAGCTCTTGCATTCCTTACCTTATTTAAAAAGATTAACCTGACCTATGTGCCTAATTACAAAGTATTTAAACATCCATAATTTTATATTTACACTCAGCCATCAAGTTTCAAACTTTTGACTCAAAACATGTGTTTGGATACATTCATTATGAAATTCAAATTTTTTAGTAAACATATTTTCGCGTAGCATTCAATACCTTCCTTGGCGATTATGCCCAGTTTAATAATTCTCTGATAATATAATAAATAACAACTTTCCATTTCACATTTAAACATTAATCTCATTGTCATCGGATCACAATCTTGATTTCCTTACTCTGCATAATATTGCTTCATTTTTTAAAACAGTTAAAACAACTAATTGATCTGAATTCACAAATGCATACATTATACAAGTAATTAAAAATATATAAATTATACAAATTTTCACACTTAATACTATTTAGATGTAAGGAAACTGAGGTTTAAAGAGTGTTATATTTTTCCGAAATTTTGACATTTTATATAATTATATATCTTATCATTTTATAATTATATATCTTTATAATTATATATCATTTTTAATAATTTTATATATCTTAAGGTATTTCCTCATTCTTTACGCATAACATGAACATTTTGCTAAAATCTATATTTTTGTTATCCAGTAGCTTAGAATTTCCTAAAACAAATTTATAATCAAAATCACTGTTGCAAGTTATTGAAAAATAACCAACACATAATTTTTACATAAATGCCACCAAACTGTACAAAGTACTATTATCCATCCAACAATTGAATGTTTCTTTTATGTAGAAGTGTCCCCCGTTTTCGATTTGTGTTGAACTGTCATGTGTGGAAAAAACACTATCAAAGAGCTCTGGATGTAAAAACAAAAAATACTGCCTCTGGAGACAGTAAGTGAAAATACATGCAAGATCGAAGTACTGTAGGCAGTTCAGGTAGAATGTTATAGCTAACATTCAACCTGAAATGGTCTTTACTAATATCTCAACTATGAACTAGCAATAAAAATGTTGCAAATTTACTAACTGTAGTCTACTACTATACTGTTATGTTACATAATCCTTAGCCATTGAAAGGCTCCTCAATGATAAAATCACAAATATCTGAATTATTAAGTAAACTGCAGCTATGGCTCTTACAGTTATTTTTAAAATTAGATACTTCTATTTAAGCTCTCATGTCTATTAATTTCAATTTTAAAATCCAGGTTGATGTGTGTTTTTTAAGACAAAACACAGAGCATCAATGATAATTCTGAGCACCTTGTTCTCCAGCTGTTACACAGACAGTCGATTCATTGGCAGCAACCATCCAGTAAGATGATGTACATAAAAACATGTTATTCATGGATTGATAAACCTCTTTATTTTAGTACTGAGTAGTGAATCATGTTTAGTTACAGAAAGAATTCTTATACTTTCTTTGTCAACCTTGTCCTTGACATATAATATACCTCTTTTAAAATGATAAATTATCACAAATAATACTTAGGTATTATTAGCTTGACATTGTAAATATATTGAGAATAACATGATGAATATGAATGTCTAAAGTATTTATTTTTTCCAAAAAGTAACAGTTTTTTCAAAGAAATTGACTTTAATTTTCTTGTTTTCACACTATTGTAATAACAATTTAATGCATTTGTCTCACATGCACGACTTAATGATATAATTAAAATACAGTACAGTCAGGATATATGGAAAAACAGTGCACTTCATTGCTCTTGTACAGATGATGAAATGTCAATAGTTTAATTCATAGTTGAAATGCCAGTTGTAACACCAACTTATCACATAGCTGATGCAACAGAATGTGCTCATATGTGTCGTAAATAAGCTTTTTAATACACTTTAACGCATAAGCTTAGTATAAGCAATAAAGAAATTTCAGGAACAAATAATAGACACTCTCTATCATGGTCCTGTGATTACCTGCTAAGAAATAAACTAGCATAACGTATATTTCCTCATTATTTGCACATGTTTTAGCAATAATTTACAGAAGATAGGCATGCTTAATTAACAACAATCATAGGTAATATTTCATTATTATTTAATGTATATAATTAATTTAATGTTTAATGTATAAAAAGAAATAAACTTTTTTAATGAAAAGTGCACTACTTAATAACTTTCATTAGCAAAAATTTTATTTTTTTATCTCCAAGCATAAATTAATTTTTTTAACAAACACCGATTTATTAATATAACTGTATTTCACTGTAGATCAAATACAGATGTAATACAATTTCATCCCTTCTCAACACATGACGCAAATTTCAAAACCACAAAGTACTTCACGTAAATAAACAAAATTTCACGAAGTGCACGGCAGCATATGCGCAAATTGAGATGCGCACGGGAGGATCAGATCACGATCCCAAAAGTTGCCTTCTCTCCGTAGACGCTAGTAGCTAGAACGACACGAGATACTTATACCTGAAGTAGACATGACGTCATCTCATGGCAACCAATCAGCTATTGGCACAATTCAGCTTTCCAGATGACGTAACATCAAGTTTCGTTTTTGCATTTTAATTAAGCTGGAACAGTCCGTTCTTAATACAAACAGTGGCAGTGAAAAACGAAGTAGAAGTAATTGCTATATTCCTTTAAAATAAGAACTAAACCTTATGTAAAAATTAGAATTATTTCAAGGAGGAGAGATGATGCAGAAAAGGGTTACAATAGGTCATATTTTCCAACACATTTAACTTAAATCTGTAATTATCGCCAATCGTAATGTGAACATAAAAGGTTACCATACTCCTTTATTATTCAGTTACTAACATTAAAAAAAAAAAAAAAAAAAATTTTTAGGCATCGCTATACGAGTCATTACTCAAGTTGTCATGTTTTGATAAACATGCGGTGATGAAAGGAAAGTATAATAAATAATGATTCGCCAAGTTGGCATCAGATCAACGATGTATCTATCTGGAATGTTTTAGTTTGAGATGTGTGCCAAGCGCAGATATGCAACAACGAAGCCAAATTACTGATCGTAGAAATTTATGCTAAAATGATTGTTTCTTCAGTAATAAGGTATTTTATTTAGTGTTGAAGTGAAATTATGAATACGGATTCTGCAGATGTTTTATTATGCACTGAGGGAGGAATCAAATGTGCATACGTAAAGCCTACGAGGAAAAAGTTCTTTGTGGTTTTGAGGTCTGGATAATGGACTTTCGGACTTTGTACTGTGTTGATTGTTTTCTTTAATTTTCTTAAATATATTATGCCATATGTATTTTAAAGCATTTTAAGAAATTAATTTTGTTAGTGTTGATCTCATATATTGTTTGTATTTTTTAATGCTTTAAATTTATGTTAAATTCTGTTATTTCATTTTATTACAGTTAGAAATTTACTTGAATTTATGTTCTAGTGCTTATATCAAAATATTTTTGCAGCTGCTGCAAAGGCACCAAGAAAGCAGCATGTATTGAGAGGTGGAAATTCACCTGCTGCTTCAAAAAGTGGTTAGTATCACATTTGCTTCATGTTACTCTATGGCAAATGTTTTGCCTGTATTAAATACATAATGAAATATTTGATGGATAGCTTGTGTTTGGTAACTTATGATTAAATAAAATTTTTATGTGAAAAAATTCCCGCATTTAATATATATTTAAAATATGCAATAAAAAGAAATTATTGGAATGTTAACAGTAGCATATATTCATAAGTTATTAACAAGGGAAAAGATTACACTAGATGAATTAATCTTCACAGCTACTATTCTATACAGTTACATGGTACATTTGCAGTTACAGCTACATATATGACATTTCTCTCTTCAGCAGAAATAAAACAATAATAAAGAATCTTTTAAATAATAATTTATTAACAGGTCTGGCCAAGCGAATAACAGTTATGTCCTTTTCTTGAATTTGGTAATAGCATTTCTTTCAGAATTTGGTGACGCAACATTTTTGTAGTATACTGGAGAATTTACAGGCAACTCCATATTTAAAGTATTGCAGCTAACCTCAGATTCATTCTTATTCACATATTTGCTATTGCTGCATTCATTCTGACAACTGTTTTTCACTTTGAAAGTTTTCTGATCAGTTAAGAATGTTTTCTGTTCCTTTCTGTAATTCTTTCAGATACTTTTATGATTGTGTATGAATGCAGTCTGTATGATTTTTCCAGTTACATGTTAGTAAAAAGGTTGAGAACCGCTGACTTAGTTTATTGTGCTGAAAGTATTTATACTAAGTCTGGTGTATAAGTACAGCCAATCTGTGATTGGTTAATTTTAGGTTGTTACATAACATGGAAGGATCTCGAATTTGGGAGAACAGATGAATTTGGGGGAGAGCACCAAGTCTAGAATAGTTAATTTTGAGGTCTTTTTAAGCTGTCATATTTTTAATGCATAGTGTAAAACACTGGAGCTCTTAACAGCTTTCAATATGCATCATGGATGATGGTTATAGCATACCAATGAAGATAACAAAACTAGATTTTCATAAATCGTCAATCTTTATTTTCACACATATCCAATTAGTTTGACAGACACTTATTCAATCATAATTAAATATGATAAATTTCTGTGTACATTGTTTTCTTTAAAAGAGAAATAATGTAGGCATCTGAGAAGCGAAGCGGCGCAAAGTTGGCAGGATAGCACTTAGGGAAAGGAATGGAGTGACGTAGTTTATTGTGCCAAGAGTATTTGTACTAAGTCTGGTGCATAAGTACAGCTAATCTGTGATTGGTTAATTTTAGGTTGTTACATAACATGGAAGGATCTCAAATTTGGGAGAACAGAGGAATTTAGTAGAGCACCAAGTCTAGAATAGTTAATTTTGAGGTCGGCAATTATTTTTAAGGCAGCCATCGTATTTTGTTATATCTTACATATATATATGGCAACAAGATGATTTTTCATATTCTGTGCCATAATTTGGCTTAAATATGTTCATCTTTAAATTTTGTAGAAAATCCTTGCTGCGCTTCCCTCCTCTCAAATGTAATTTGATCTGTTGTCTAACCATGTTTGCTGTCTTTAAAACAGCCAAATGTTAGGAGTAACTAATGCGGCAACCCTCATAAAACTTGTCTAGTCCTTTAGAAGTTGTCAGTTTCTTCACTCATCACACCTTCTAAGAAGAGTATTCCAACACAGCAATGAGATGAAATTGTTTTTCTTGCTACAGCTATTAATTATCAGTTGCATAAATGCAAATAAATAAATGCATAAATTGTAGAGGCAGTAAAGTAATGTATTACTAAATATATAAATTCACATTGCTCTGTACATCATCATCAGGGGATCAGAGTAATGAGAGAAGTAAATGTAACTGTCTCTTTCTGAACTCTGATAATGGCATGATTTTTTTTTTTTTTTTTAAATTTAGAGCTTTAATAAACTACAAATCAGTTCGGGCCCTCATCAGTCTAAACCCTATAGGCTGAAATAAGAATTGTATTTTGCTCGCAGTCTTACAAATTAAAAAAAATCCAAAGATGCAAATAATTACATAAAATGTATCAAAATCTTCCATTTGATTTAAATAAACAAATACAAATAATATTTCTATCCTGTAACATTCATGTTCTTTATGTTAAATAATTGCATATCTCAGTCAAAAACCACGTCAAACAATTAATAATAAAAATTTAAAGAGTAAGAAAGGTATCAAAAATTGGTACTTACGGGTATTAATGCCACTGCAGCTGCAGATTTGGTGGTTTTTAAGTGCCGCCAACATACACCTAAAATTTTTTTGATAAATCATATATTAAACACTTTGTTTAAAATAAAAAAAACTTTCAAAAATCAAAACACTTTATTTAGAATCAAAATAGTCTATTGGATTTCGGTGGAAAATGGGCCGATATAGAGTTTAACATAGATTCAAAACAGTCTCTATTTTCTTGGACCTGGTGCTGTCGCCATATGAACTCTGCTAAAAAAGATTCTAAATGATGTCTCGCTGCTGTCCCCTTATGTCTCTTGTTCTTCCATTTAGCACTGTCCCACATTCTCTTAACTGTTTGTGTATGAGCTCCTGTATCAGGATCAATAAAATTGTATTTATGATTAACTTTAGCATGTAGGAATCCTTCTTTTCCTATTCTATTTGTTTGGTAACCTTTCCAACTGTCAGAATAAATTGTGCTACCATCTGCAATGTTTTTAATAATTTATTAAGAAGTGTGGAGCCAGTTCTATTAGGAATAGTGACAGCAAACAAATCTTTTGTTTCTCTACATATACCACTAAGCACCCACTGTTTGGGTAATACTCGACCACAATTATTTTTACGCTTAGTAAACAAACTTTCATCAATTTCCATAATGCAATCTGGTCCATCTACCTTCTTGCTTGGTTTATTCTCCATATCCAAGACACACAATTCACGTATGTAATTGTTCCAATCTATAACAGTTTTATCCGGTAAATAAAGTTGCTTTTAGCAAAATTTAATCGACGTCAACTCTTTGCACCAGCAGTATATGAATCTCAAAGCTGAACAAAATGGAATTCTGCTTCCTTCAAACCAATTGTCTTTTCTAAGTCCCACTTGCTGATCACACTGTCTTAAATTACATTTCCAAAACGTACATTTACCAAAATAAAGTTTCATACCATGCAAATTGGTACTTTTTTTTTTTTTTTTTGTAAAATATTTCACTCCTGAAAAAATAAAATTGCATATATGTGTTTGGCAAATCTCAAAGACGCATTTTCGTAGCACTAAAAAATGGCATTAAAAATCAGCAAACAACAAGGCGAAAAGGAATCCAAAAGATAACTGCATGCGAACAACAGGATAGCTCTCTATTGGCACATCAGCACAACTTCTGCTGTGATGGCATTAATACGTAAGTATCAAAAATTTTTTTTAAAATCTTTGCGAATATTAAATCTGCTCATTTGAAGTACTGGGTGAAGGTAACTCTAATGTGCTGCAATGCAAAATAAATTCAACTGAAACTAATATGCAAAAAATATTTGAGCTACAATAATCTTTAATGGGGTGCTACTTAAATTTGACGCTGTAAGAAACGAAAAAAAAAAAAAAACTTTATGTATAATTTGCAGCGAGTGTTGCAGCTTGATTTTTAAAATGGAAGTAGCATTTTTTTTTTTTTTTTTTTTTTTTCCCCCCCCCCCCAAGAAGTAGTGATAGTATTTAACCTTCAAAAGTAATTTTCTTTAGTAAAAATAATCTGTAATGTGGCGTACTGTATAAAATTAATGGTTTAAGAAAATAAGTGAGTTTAATATTTAGCAGTTTAGATGTCTAATTGAGGAGTTCTGCCTAATAATTCAAATGTAATGTGTAAATTTTAAAGAATAATAAAGCAAGGAAACAAAATAGGCTGTATTTGTCACAGATTACTGGTCTTTGCTCAGGAGGATTGAGAAGCTGAAGTAGGCTCTCTTTGTTAATAACAAAATAATTTCTTTTTAACAGTAACTAACAAAATAATCTCTTTTATAACAGCCTAGTCAAAATTATAATCATAAGAATGTCTAATTCAACTGCATTAATATATTCAGTCTATACTGTAATGGTGTAGGTATAACCTATAAGAATAAACAGCAGTTTAATAGTGGGAAAGTTTAGATTGACTACTGTAAGTCAGCAGGCTATTTTTTTTAATAAATATATGTAGAATTCAGTTATTTTTATATTTTTATTAATACTGTAAGTTCTTTGTAAAAGTCATGATTATGATGACAGACTTTTTAAAATTCTTTTGATTTGATTTTTGAGATGTTTGATTGTCAATTTATTAGCTTGATGGTATTGAAATTGGCATGTCTTCTTTTGTCAAATAATTGTGTTTTGTTAAGGTTATAAATTTACAGGTCTAAATAATTTGCTTTTATATTGCTGGTCTTAGTTTTATTAAGTTTTAAGCATGTAGGATAGATGTCTTGTTTTTCTATTTTATTGTAACTTTTAATGGCAATTCTGCCATCTGTATACTTGAAGGTGAATTTGAAAAGCTAATTTTTGGTAGAAGTTGACAAAAATTAAATTACTTAATGAAGATTAAAAGAGGTACAAATGGCTGTAGCATAGCTGCCAATTGTCCCAATTTTTCATCGCATCTCCTGGTAAATCACCGAATTTCTCAGTTTTTTTAATTTTTAACTTTTACTAAGGAAAATGTTTCCCAGCAATAAATAAAATTTGTTAAATTATCGAAACTTTAATTAGGTAAATTCCATTTTCCCACCTCTAATGATTTTCAGAAACATTTATCTCATTAAACCTTTATTTCGTCTGAATTCTAATTTTTTCTTATTACATTTTGTTGATCTTATAAAAATTTTCTTAATAAATTTCATTTGATCCAAGTTTTCTTAATCTACTGTAGACGTTTATAAATTTTTATATGAAGATTCAAACAATGTTTAATCAGTTAGTATTTGTATTTAATTGTGGTTATTTCAGTATATGGTACTGTAACGAAATGTCGAGGTGCAGTGGGATAGCTTCTGCCCAAAGCA